AACCAGCTGCTTCCCTTTTCGAATTACCCGCCACCTCGATGATTAACATGTGGATTAATAAACCGCTAGAAAAATTGTGTTCTAACTGAAAAGAATTATCCTACGAGTAACTTGAGCCCTCGTTTAGTTAATAACTCTCGCATGTTCGTGTACGTACGCACGAAAGTGCCTCTGTCTTCTACATGGCTCGCATAATAATGAAACTTCTTTTTTTTTTCCTTGAACGAATAAAATAGAATCCATGGAATTTGCTCTGTTGGTGAATGAGTATACAACAAAAATGAGAAAAATGCGTGCGCTAGACAATGGCCACAGAAAGACTAAGGGACATTTTGTCCAGCCTTTGTACTCCTCTGTTGTTACAACCCAAGAGATGAAGAAGTGCAATGTAATGACATGAACGATATTAAAATCAAATAAATTTCGAGCAGTTCGTATGAACCACACTACCAGTAATCAAGATGTAGATATATATGTATATATATATATATACACACAAATATATATATATATATATACACATAAATATGAATGTTTACCTCAATATGCCTAAATTACTTAGCTGGCAATAGTCGATGATTATCTGCCAAATGCATTTTCTTCAAATTCACCACCTTTTCACAATTTACACCAGAACCGAAGAATCGTCGTTACCAGTTGACTTTTATCCCCTTGGATGGGCGAAAGTACGATTGTACTTCCTCTCTCTTCGAAGAACACACTTTGCTGTGCTTTTTTCATTATCTAGATTAGCCTATTTGCTACAATTAAAAATGAGGACTCAAGTTACTCCTAATATGTAAACAGTGCTTTATACACAATCTTTTTAACAGATTTATCTTACTAACAGATAGGTTAAAAAGAGGAAATAAATGTGTAGATAAGAGCGAGCGAAAAAAAGGAAGAGGGGAAATCATCATATCGTAATGTAAACGCAGATTAATGATAACATGGTGAAACGGTTCTGAATAAATCTGATTAAAATAGGGAATTATCACGAACATTATGCAGAGATAGTATCCCGCTTCCTTTATATATAGATATATTTCCCATTGAAGTTGATTTCAGGAAACAAATCTTGTCATAAAATCCAATTAGAGTGATGTTAAATTTATAGCATGGAGTAAAACTTTCTTCACAATATGTAACTATGTAATTTCTTTTGCACATTGTTAGGCTTCATAATGATAAAACATTTGGTACATACTGTTTATACATATATAGTTTGATTATTAGATAACCCGCGATGCTACAAATTAAGTATTAAATAGAAATTAATTGAGTATCTGTGTACAACTTGTTTATCATTGTCAATTGACTTATTGAGTACGAGTGCCAAGAAGGCAATCACAATAATGTGAATATACGTACTTAGTATGTGCTTGTACTCCATGTAAGAATGAAATAAATACCAGTTAGCTCACAGTAGTTATTTTAACATCATTGGTTGATCGATATTACATATACGTATATAATATGTTGATATGCATATATATAAATAATAATAATCTTATATTGTGATTTATAGTTTTCATCCATGAAAATTATGAGAAACAAAATTATTAGCCTCTCATATAGTCCTGTGAAGAAAGAAAAGGAAGTGCCTTGCAAACTCTATTCCTAATGTTAAATAATTTCTAATTAAGGAATAAATGCTCTCTTGAATACCTTCGAGCAGTAGGTATGATATCTCGTGCTTACTAGCAGAGTGTTTCATACAAAGTACAGAAACATTAACACTGTGTTTTCTGGGCACAAAATGTGTCTCATAGAATAAAAAGTTGTTTACACTTTGTCAAATAGTTACTTACCTGAACCAATTTTTACAAGCCCATTATGTTGAATAAATATAGTGTCACAAGTAAGATTTCCATGAATAATGGGAGGTGAACAAGAATGTAGATAACTGAAAAATTTAAAAAGATTAACACATATAACGGAAATACGTGTATGTGTATAAATAGATAAGCATTACAATTTAAAAAATTCATAACATATACAAAAGATTATATTACCTCAATGCAGAAAGTATTTGAGTACACCAGCGTTTCCATGCTTGCAAAGGTAATTTTTTCACATTACGTTTTGTTCTTTTTAGGAACTGTTTCAAAGATCCAGAAGACATATATTCAGTTATAAATATGACCTGGTAAATGACAAATAAGATTACAATTAACAGTCAAGACCTATTTGAACTTGGACACTCATTTCTTATTACATACCCGAGGTTTATCATTGTGGGTATCTGTCCAATACCTATGAAATTTAACAATATTAGGGTGTTCCAACTGTGTAAGATTTTCAAATACAAGTTGTATTTTTTCTTCTTGCGCTTTAAAGTTCTTTCTTTCAGAAAATTGCACCTCATTCCAAACAACTTCGACTCCTTCCTCTGTATCCATCGCCAAATAAGCACAGTCGATTCCTGGTACATCGCGTTGTTCCACCTAAATAGCAAACACTTTATTGTTGTAACAAATTCATAAATACTTCACTTCATTCATATACAATTTTTATGCAATTTAAACTAACTATACAAATACATAAAATTAGTTTATTTACAAATTTCGTTTACAAAAGTACATGTTAATATTTATTTACAACGTACAAAAATTATACGGAGTAAAAATAAAATTAGATTAACAAATTATATTTGAAGAGTTTATGAATACGAGATGATGGAACATATTACTGTAATCATCCATTTTAAAGTTACTTGAGACAATTTCATGCCTAATGTCATTATATCAATGTGACCTTGCAAGGAATTTAAGGAGGGGAAATAATTCAGGGCACAGAGGTTGCCATTGAAGGCATCGTAAAATGTTTACGACAATGGGCTATATTCAAATAAAATATATATAAAGCAAAAGAGATAGCCTATTTTTCTTTAAATAGACATACCTCCATTTCAGTAACTTCGTTTTCACTGCCTCTGGCTGCTCCGAAAGTAGAGCCTTCGGCTAACGTGGACTTGGAACCTACATATACCTAACATAAAATAATAGTTATAGAACATAAAGTAAAACTATTCATTAGTAAAATGTCCATTGTCTTTTACTTAATACCATCTAAGTGTGACAAAGGTACATTTAGCTTTCAAACAAACCAATGAAAGAATTTGTCCAGATAAAGCAATTTTCTGAATGCAAGTAGTTAATGACCCAAAAGTGCTGATTTATTTATAGAGTGGAGTACAAAGGATATCACACACTGAAAGCTCTGAGCCAAGAAGTTGTTGAAAGTCTGTTTACACGTGAATTCAAAATGTTTATACAAATTCTAAGAAAGCTAGATAATAGTAAATAAGAAATGAAACATATTTTATATGGTATACTTCAAGCAATGTTTGATATTATGATGTATAAAATGTGCGTGTGTGTATGTATGTGTGTGTGTGTGTTACAAATTACTGAATCAAATTAAACTACTGCCCTTTTGCTTATTAAACTTGAATGAAATAAATATTAAACCTAAATTACAAGACAAACAGTCTTGCACATTCAGATTCTCGGTACTTGGTATGTCTTCTTGTTATTCATCAGATTAACATACAAAATCTTAGAATACATTATTGACACGTTACAACTAGAACTATACCCTTTGTTCCCTTAATACCCCCATATCCTTTGTTCACTCAAAACTATCCATGCACAAACATCGCAGCAGTTTACCTACAATGGTATCAATGCCAAACTAATAGAATGAGTCATAAAAAACTCTCTTCGTTGTCATTCACAGTAGAGTAATACTCTGTGTGACTATGGTAATACTCTTCATGAGAGGAACACATAGAGACCGTTTGATGCTGACACATAATGCCCGTTTGATACCAGGTGAACCCAAAGAACAAAATCCCAACCCGACTGTATGGAATAAAGTGTGAAACACAAAAATTGCAAGCACTGTTACTACATTGTTATGAAAAGGACGTGATACCTCTTCCCGGCGTTTGAGCCACCGCCCGCAGGGGCTCTCCTCCAGGATTTCACTCTCATCTTCTGAATCTTCACCACTTTCCCGCGGTGACTTGTGCTCTGGGTCCGTGCTGGAGCGACTCCCGGGCATTACACACGCGATTAGTTGAAGGGGCAGCACCGAACAGAGCGCAACGCGGCCAAACTCATCGGTGATATAATTCCGGGAGTTTATCTCAATGTCGCATCTGTTCCACCGCAAAACGCACAACCAGCGATACACACGTGAACGTTACGCGAGGGGACGGGTCAGTGACAACGGGCTACGATACACCTTCTAGCACCTCGCAAATGACACATGCAGCACGACAACTCGAGGGTCGCTGAGAAACCCGAGCCGCGATATTTCTGATCTTACGCGGCCACGCGCACGGATCGACGCTTTTCCGTTTCCCTCAGGGCTTGGCCAGCGTACTGGACATCGCGCGGCCCATTCGCTGATCACACTGTCAAAATAAAACCTCTGTTATGAGCAAAATAGCTTCGATCTGACACACACTCTAGTACTCATTTTCGCTCTGTCTTCGGTCACGTTCGCCCAGTATGGCGATTAGCGTGCACCGCACCCTTTTTAGGCGCCGACCGCAACGACACCTGCCGACAACAGCCTCCACCACCCCAACTTTCAATCGCATTTCACCCGTTGCTCAAGATTGCTTCAAGATAACGTTCATCGAACCGAGTTTCACAGTGCACGTACCTCTCTATGTTACCGCGCAGTTTTTGCTTTTAGGTTAGATACGGCTCTGCTTTGGGGTTAGAAACGGTTTGTGATTTCAAATTTGATCGAGAACATCTTGAATTGGGCCAACAACGATTTTCAATCGTCGAATATGTGTCTTTGAATCGTGTCTTTAGCTGAAATTTCTTTTTTTTTTGTACTTTATGACGCGTGACGTACACGTGTCAATAGCGTGATTTTATTCATAACCTAATGACGTCTATAAAAACATTGCCTCTGTCAGAGGGGACGAAATTGATTATCCTTGATGAAGGTGCGGCAATATCACGTATTACGCTTGTGCAATGGAATTCTGTTTTTTTGAAAAAAAATTCAATCGGTGTTAGATGAATTTCCATCGTGTGTAAACTCTTCATGTAAACGGAGTTCCATTGTTAAACAAACGTCACGTACGTACATGTGTACATGCTTTCAGAGGCGACTGCAATGCACGCGAGAAAATTGATCGCAGGATGGATACAGACACTAAAAGAAAGAGATCCCAGTCGTGTGTTCAGTCTGTTATTGTTCTCTGATTCAAAGTCTTCGTACCAAAACGAGCCCAAACCTTTTGCTTCGAGTAACGTAAATATCTTTGATTACTACACGATCGACGTTGATAATAAATTTGACACAACCGTTGTAAGCGAGAAGGATCTTCTCAATCTAAAACATGTCCTACAAACGATAAACGCAAAACACACAGTGATCATTGATTGCTTAACGTCCTTGAATTCGCTTGTAGGCTTGTCAAAGACAATGTGGTTCTTAGAGAGGTTGAGCAAACAGGTGCTACAAGTGATTTGCATTTACAAACGAGACTTTGTACATAATAAAATACCAGGCATCGAAACATTGGGAAGTACATATGTAAAGATACAGAAGTCACTTGGTACGACAACAAGCAAGGAATTTAACTACACAGTGGAGTTTTCGCATCGCAAAGTGGGTGGAGGAATCTTGAAACAACAGGAAATTATAAGTCAGAATAACGTATCCTGTGAGATCGAGTCGAGGAAGCTCGAACAGAGTAAAAAGTTGGATCCTGTATGCGAAGACCCCATGTCAAAGATCGAGTCTTCGTTCAGAATAGAAATAAGTGAGAATGAAATGAAACAGAGACAAGAATTGGCATTACCGTATATGATTAATACAAACGCAGTGAACACATCTAAAATCCACTATCATCCAGAGGATATAGATGATTTCGATGAAGAAGATCCGGACGATGATTTGTGTTTTTAAATTTTATATTTTGAGTGTCATAAAATATCACAAAATAGAAGAAAATGTTGATGTTCCAAGCGAAGATATTTATTTTATATTTATTTTACATTTTGTTGCAATAAATATAGAATATTTTATTCGTATAATGATCTTTTACATTTTTTTAAAATTATCAACAATAATTTTATAGAAACAAAATACAGATGTTCTACTGTATAAAACCAATACTGCGCACAATACTAATATTTAAAACATTTAAAAATAAAATATTTAAAAATAAAACATTAAATATTAGGCTTTGGCATTTGATTCAGTTAGTCATACCATTATTGTTTCATTTTGTTTTTTTGTTTGCACCATAAAGTTATGTTAGTCATAACCACAGATGACAAATAAAACACAGCCAAATATATGACAAAGAATATAACATTACAATTCTATAGAATAGATTTTAAATAATATTTTCATAATAGCATAACAAAAAATATCTTACGTATCAACCAAAAAAGATATTAAAAAAATTGTCTTGAATAAAATTATTTTGATATTTATAATATGTATAGATAATTATAATATATCTATATAGATAATTATAATATATTAAATAAATAGGATAATGTATCTATATAGATAATTATAATATATTAAATAAATAGGATAATATATCTATACAGATAATTATAATATATTAAATAAATAGGATTGTCAGATCACAAAATTCTAAAACGTTAATATTTGACAACACAGTTGACAAAAATTGCAAAAATAATCCTTTTGTAAGATTTAATCGAAATACTGAAACTAGCTACTAAAGGTATAAAGTAAATTTTGGTCGTAAAAATGATAAGCCCCGTCGATATGCTGCAACACTCTACTTTCTAATAAGCTACGGCCGTATTGAATAGCTTCTTCTCTAGTTTGTGCAACATTGGCATCGAGTAACCAATTAACTAAATCAGTACCGGTAAAGACGCCTTTGTACACCTTTAATAAATGTCTACGACATATAGCTATACGAGCACGACATTCAGCCAAATGGCAACGATTAAATTGATCCCTAATAGCCTTCACTTCTGGGCTTAATGCATCTTCAGAAGGAAGTTGCAACTCCTTTCCTGCAAGTATAAGATATATATTAAATTATAAAATTTTTCAAATAAATATGATAAATATAAAAATAATATAGTAATACCAATACGCCATTTACGGCACATTTTTTGTAGCCAACATCCTAATTTTCCAAGGCCGGCATCCAATCCGAAGATAACAAATGCGATTAATGATTGGCCAAAATTCAGAGCAACATCTAAGAACGCTAATTCTACGTAAACTCCAGTCAATTGTTCCATTAATAGCGTTCCAACTGATATCGATAAGCCCTAAAAATAATTGCGGTAAATTATAATTTCACAATTGTGTTTGAGTATTTTACTGTATACTTACAATAAACATGGAACATAGAAGTAAAATAACAAATACAAGGTGTCGTAGAAGCTGAGGATCGTTTCTTTCATTCTCGATATCTAACAACGAATCACAATCGTAAATCTCGTTATTGTTACCTCTGCATATACCATCTGGACAACCATCTGCATATTCACAACCAATGCTAACAACATCGAGATATTTTAATTAAAATAAAATTTTATCAACTTTAGTTTAAACAAAATTAACCTACATTGAAGTATGAGAAGTTGAAGAAATCAGATCTTCAACATCTACTATGCGTCTTTCCCCGTCATCGTTATTAAAATTTTCGACATTATTTGTCAAATTAGAATAAGATACTAGAATGTTTCGACGCTGGTAGCTCTGCTGCAAAACCAAACAACCCACTGTTACTGTAA